ATAAGTTCGTTTTAATAGGCTTTTTGCACAATATTTACTGATGCTCATTACTAAAATTTATTAAAAAATGTTGTTTCAAAGGTCCTTTAACAAAAAATCATTTTCACATTACTGAGGATACAGCACAATTTATACATCGCGATAAATGTATGTAAAGTTCACTCCTGACGTATTCAGTCATTTATCATAATAGCTTGAAATATATATTTGAAAAATCGTGCATATCGAAATTCAAATGAAGATTTTATTCGTCTGCCTTAAGAAAAAAAGATAAATAAAGTAAAATCTTAAAAACAAAAAAGGGTTATGAAGCAAATAAAAACGTATGTATCAAAAAATGGAAAAAGTATATCAAAGAAAAGAGGGAAATTTTTATGAAAATATTCTAATGGGTTTGAATAAAAAAATATTTGAAAAATTTAAAACACTTCATAAATATCCTATTTTTCATTTCTTTCATTTGGTTTCTTTGTACCTACATAATTAAATAAATTTTTGATTGTAAATTTTAAACATCTTCAGAAAAGAACCAAATTTATTGTCAACAATTGGAAATTTTCAACAAATTATTATTCCATAACAGCGATCGACTTGTAAAATCAAGCACCTTTTTAACACGTTTTTCACTAAAGTCTTATAATATCAATAATTAATTGCAAAATTTATAGGAGGAATTACTGTAGTCCATTTACTGCAATGCTAAAAACTGTATAGTATTATCTCATTAAACTATTATTTCATAATCCAAGAATGAAACTAATTTACAAATTCAGAAAAAGACAAAATAAGTAAGCATTATTAACACATTGCTGACCGGTCACGAGTTAACTCGTGTTTTCGTGGCCAAACGTTGGTGACCGGCCACGAGTTAACTCGTGTTTTCGTTAGTAGTGATCTCGTGGTGACTATTTTAAGAAGTGGGTGTAATTTTTCTTACTTTTCAAGTTTTACTATTTAATTCTCCACCAATTTATTATAACTTTACGAAACCCGACATATTTGCAAAACTTATGGTGTACCATTACACATAGGTGATTGCTAACTTTTTATCATACGGCATTAAAAATTAAAAAATTTTAAAGTTTATTTCAATTGTTTTACTTCCACATCCGCTTTTAAAACAATAGCTGGGCACATGGGGTAATTTTCAGAAAAGTTGCTGGTCAGCAATGTGTTAAAATAGTAAATAGAATTATTACAATTAAGTTCGACAAAACACCGGTTAATTTTAGATTTGTAACTTGCAGTACTGGCTGTTATAATTCTTCTTTTGGTAAAAGATTTTTTAATTATTTAAACATTATTTTAAATAAGATTATTTCAAATGATAAGCATTTTATTATTAATAACAACCAAGACGTTATTAAATATTTGAATTACAATGATATTAATACTGTTCTACCATGTGATTTTGAAAATCTTTTTTCAAATATACCACACAATAATTTAAGAACTATTTGTTTGGAAATTTTTGGTAATTATTTGAATAATAAGGACATTAATAAGAAAGATAGGACAAATTTATGTAATATAAAAATTTTTGAAAATTGTCTTTTTAATGGTATTTGTTTTCACAGACAAATTCAAGGTATCTCAATGGGAAATTGTTATTCAAGTGCATTTGCTAATATTTTCTTACAATTTTATGAACCAAAATTTTTACAACATTAATTTATAAATTGGGTTTAGTTTTAATTATGATTTAATTATTTTTGATTATAAAGATNATTAATTAATAATTAATTAACAATTGATTAATAATTAATCAATTATTAATTAATAATTAATCAACAATTAATTAATAATTAATCAACTATTAATTAATAATTAATCAACTATTAATTAATAATTAATTAATTTTCTGAATAATTTATTATATAGCAAATTAATTAATTATCAAATTAATTATAAATTAATCGGGTTATGAGACAATTACAATAACTAATAGTCTGTATTGAAGTAATAAAATACCGATTTTTCTACATAGTGAATTGTTTTTTATCTCTCACAGGACCTTCTACGGGCCGAAACGAATGTCGCCCCCTAAAATCATTCCTCATAAGGCATACATCCCACTAGTTTATTTCAAAATAGGCGAGTCACACTTCCCTAGTTTCCTTTGTAAGTGTTACTCTGTGTACTTTTAAATTGTGATTGTTTGTCATTAATTTTTCTTTGCATTTACATTTCATATTTTCTAATTGCATTTTCTTATTTGTTTTTCCATTATGGGATCTCGGGGCACAGTCAGTTTTTGGTTTCTAAACTGACAACGGAAAGGCTCCAGCGTGTTGGCAGGCAATGCTAACATAAACTAACATAAACATCCTGCTAACATAAACATCTTTCTTTCCTTTCTTTCGTTTTCTGCTAGAATAGTATTTCGGATTTCTAAATTAAATTAGAATTTCTAAATTAAATTAGAAATTAAATTATTTCATAATAATAATTTCTTCCCACAATAACATGTTCAGTTTGGAAAATCAAATGTTTTCAAAATGCACTTTTTTGCTAATTTTATCAAATACATGTTTTTGACTTTACATATTCAATTATTCGATCATTTAAAGGATAAATCATTGTAGACCATTTACTGTTATAGCAAGAAATGTTTACTATTATTCCATGACATTATTGTTTCACAACAACTACCGACATAAACTCATGAAGTCACAAGAATTCGAAATATCCAAAACGCACCTAAAATGTTTTTGACTTTGCGCTTTATGTATTCAATTATTCGAACATTTAAAGGATAAATCATTGTAGACCATTTACTGTTCAATAAAAAGAAGCGTTTACTATCATTCCATGACATTATTATTTCACAATTACAACTGACCAAGACTCACTCTTAAGTCTGATAAGTTGATAACATGCAAAACTCACTTAACATTTTCGACTAAGTGCTTTACTTATTAAATTATTCGATTATTTAAATGATGAATCATTGTAAAACATTTACTTCTATAACAAGAAATATTTACTATTGTTCCATGACGTTATTATTCTGCAATAACTATCGTTTAAAACTCAATCTTAAGCCTGCAAAATTAAGAACATGCAAAACTCGCTTGAACATATTCGACTTAGTGCTTTACTTATTAAATTATTCGATTATTTAAAGGATGAATCGCTGAACACAATTTACTGTTGTAACAGGAAATATTTATTATTACTCCATGACGTTATTATCTTACAATAACTACCGTTAAAAACTAATTCTTAAGCCTGCAAAATTAAGAACATGCAAAACTCGCTTAACATATTTCGACTTAGTGCTTTACTTATTATTCGATTATTTAAAGGATGAGTCATTGTAGACTATTTACTGTTATAACAAGAAATATTTACTATTATTTCATGACGTTATTATTTTACAATAACAACCGTTAAATAACGAATAACCGTTAAGAACTCAATCTTAAAACTAAAAAATTGAGAATATCCAAAATACGCTTAACATGTTGATTCATTCTAACGCTTAGATCCTGATCTGTCTGCCGTCAACTGTTATACTTAGAATTATCACTTTCAAAGCTACTACATAACGTGGAATAATTTCCACAATTTCGATCTTTTTACAACATTTCCAAAAAATGATACAAAAGTGAATAATAACTTCGATTTCAAAGAAAATCAAATTTGAGTATTCTTTCCGGTTCACAAGTAGACCTTATCGTTTCTCTTTCTTGCCTACATAATTTTTCTTGTCTACGTAAGAAACGGTCTACTTGAAACTTTCTTTTCCGCCTAGTTCGTCGAATGATTACTGTTAAATCATGGACTAAGATCTTTTTTATTCGCATCTTGGGAAGAACTTTGCTGAAATAAAGAGTCTTTAAAATGCTTCAAAATGACACTTAAGGGAAAAAATACATTTGCAAAGTTTGGCGCAAATGGCGCGATTTTTCGGACGTTAATAGAACTTTTCTCGGACTTGGTAGACCATATTGTGCTGAATATTTCAGCTACTGCGCTTAAATCTAACTTGGATATCGTATAAAACGAGATAAGAATTCCTTTTATTTCAAATGGGACGTTTATGGAAGCTTTTGTTCCGAAGTAAAGTATGTTTCTCTTTCTGTTTATTACTTTTTTTTAATATTCATATGTTATTTATAGCATTGGTGGTGTGTATTTGTAAATCGTAACCCATTAGATTCTGATCTACATTTCAAACTCCCTAAAATATTAATACGGACAAATAAGAGTGAGAAAGTATTTTGAGTAAAGTATTATTTAAAGTATTATTTGAGTAAAGTATTAAATAAGTAAAGAATCATTTGAGTACAATATTATTTGAGTATTATTTAAGCATAGTAAATGTTCAATAAATTTTGCATCTACAAAATTAAAAAATGGAATTTATCATAAATTTAAATGTTAAATAAAATAAGTTTCTACTGTTTTCATTCAATTAAATTAATTCATTCAATTAATTAATTCATTCAATTCCCTCATTCAATTAAAATAAAAGCATTGATCTCTTAATTTCTTAATTATGTGAAGATAAATAAATGTTATTTCGTATATTTCATACTTAGGAATAAATTGTTATGATAATTTCATGGCACACTGCAATTAAATTGGAAATATCTATAACTAATGAGTTTATTTTTTTCCTGTTGAAGAACACAAAACTGTGAACGAATATAAAATAAAATTGGGAAACTTCTTCCTTTTTTTTCATACTAGTGTTATTTTATAGATTCTTTAAAATGCTTTCGTGATACAGATTTTCGAGACAGAACTTCCTTGAACATTGGTGGATTTAAAGCATTTGTAGACTAGTAAACACTTCACAAAAATCGAATCAAATCTATAATGGAAGAAGAAGAATTTAAATAAAAAGGGAACACAATAAAACCCCGAATAATGAGTCGGCAACAGCTAATTTTTACATTAGCCTAGACTTATTTGGCACTTAGAGACTTATAGACCTTGCACTTATCCATTTATGGTATTTATTCATTCATTTGTTATTTTTCTTTCTATAGGATGAATTGCAGAAAGATAAGCCTCCGCCTTCTGAATGTGATTCTGGAATTGAAGTCGCTCCTTATAAAATAGGGCGTAAGGAAGTATGTACATCATGTTTTTTTGTGATTTTTGTGATAAAAACAATGTTTTGTCATTAGCCATACAGCTTTTCAGAAGACATTTTGGTGAAAATTTGCAGTAAGCAGTTAGAAATTTCTGTGCAATGTACTGTTTATTTAGTGGAAATATAGGTATATATCTAGGAACAATCTAGGATTGCATATCTAGATCTATGTATCTATATTTATATATCTATATTATTAGATCTATTATCTATATATATCTAACTGTAAAAAAAGCATGAGTTATCCTTACATGACCAGCCTCTTCAAAAAAATATGGCAGCTTTTCCTTTGTTTCTTTCCCTTTGAAGTATTCTTTTCTTAAAGAGATCAAAATTAAGTACTTCGAAAAATCACAGTCTTGTAAAATTTACTGTGTAAAAAAACTACCAGTGGATTTTTAATTTTTTAGCACAGTGTTCATTTTAATAACAACATTTTTAGTAAAATCCACAATTTGCATCTTTTTGTTAACAAAAATAGCTTTATCTTATTCTTATGACGTAATTGTTCAAAAAACAAAGGGTTTTATAACTTTGCAAGACCCTATTGTGCTTAACAATTTTACTTTTTTAGTGGGAAGAGCTATATATTGCCGTTTTATACACCATCAAGCACAAGCTTGGTGCAAACAGCAGTGGATACTCCGTGTACGCCGAGGATCTTTATGAGTACGCACAGGAAGCATTTTGCATGTCTGATAACGACCACAAGAGGTTTCTCAGCATTGCTCAAGACGAGAAGGTATGTATAAAAGATAATTTCATTACAGCTTTATTCTTCTTTTGGATTAGGATACGTTCTCTGATACGTCTTTTAGGTTCGGACAGTGTGAGGCTTTTTAAATCGCAGTTAGAAATATCGTGCAAATTCTGTGAAAATGCAATAAAATTTTAAGTTGAACTCTATTAAAGGAGCTGATCTCAAAAGATGTCACAAAACTCCAGAGCTTTTCGAGAGATTGTGACAAAGGAGAAACAGATGGAGTACAAAATGTGTGATTGCATATTTAGTTAAAATAAAAAGATTAACATATTAAATACTTTTGTATTAATAGTTTTTTTCATAATTATTTTGTCATATGTATTCATCCAAATACACATCTAATCATTGTTATTATGCCCGCAAAATAAAATTTGATACATGGTCACAACATAATATTTGACACACAATTTGAAAATAAAATTAAAAATAATTCAAACTTAGAAACAAAATTTGATACAGGGTCCAAAGAAGGTGTTTTGTCCTGCACTGCTAGTATATGTTCATGCAATATAGCATGGCATGTAACTAGATATGTAGGGAGTATGAAAAAGTATGACAATTTGTGACAAAGGCTATGAATTCAAAATATTGAAGAAAAAGTGTTACATCATTTACATGCAGTCTCTTAGTGAAAATTAATCTACCTTAAACTTTGTTATACGATAGTATGATACAATTGAACACATTTTTTAAGGATTTGTTAAATTAGCTTGATTCTAGGGTTTAAAATACCAATGCGATGGTTCAACATTTAACTAAATTAGCAAAAGGTCTAAAATAATACTTTTTTAAACAAAATATAGGGTTGTTCTGAAAGTACTTTTGATTTTTTCCATATGAAAATGAAAGGCGATTTTCTTATGGTGAATAAATATTTTATGGGATTATATAATGTCCATTCTTGTCCAATATCTTTTACCATCTTTCTAGCAATAGCATAATTTCTAGCTCAAAAAATTTTGTTCTTTACTACCAAAAAGCTTATCCAGATGAATTTTGACCTCCTTGTTTGTAGTAAAGGTATTACCATCTGAAAATGTTAGTGGGAACCCGAAGAAATATTGTGGCCTACCCATTTCTCGTTCCCAGTGAGAAACAAATCACAGGAGTCACAAAATGCTACAGCACAAATTTCTTCCAGTAGGAACATGAAGAACCCATATGCCGAGTTTTAAGAATAAACCGAGGCGTTTTAAATAATTCCGAACAGTCAAATTCGACAAATTTAATCTCTCAACTATCTCGCTAGTTTTTATTTCCTAGTTTTCATCAATCAGTGTCTTTATCGTGTCTTCATCAGCCTGTATTGGTGTAGTGGAGCATGCATTAATTGAAATTTTTCCGGATTGAAATTTCGCGGACCAGTTTTGACCCTGACATCGAATAATTTTCTTCTTGCTCGAACAGCGTTTTAACCAGGGCCGGATTTACGTATAAGCTAAATAAGCTGTAGCTTGGGGCCCCGAGATGGCAAGGGCCCCCAGATCCAACTTTTTCCCTCTTTTTTTAAAGTTTTATTCGGAGCTGGAGCCCTCTGAAGCCTAAAATACTTTTTTTTTTCTTTTATACATTGGCGTACGCTTTTCAAAATCTAATAGAAGTGTTTACAAATATAAAATAATTGTTACTCTTCACTTTTTTAACCAAAAGAGCAATAAAAAGGCCGTTTGACTGATGGAAATATCCTGTAGCTTTCGTAGCTACCAGTGATGGGAGTAGTCCATGGATCCTAAAAAGCGGTACTCCATGGAATAGTCAAATAGCCGCCTCAATTTACATTGTGGGAAATATTTTCAGCTTCTTTAAATTGCTGTGGGCTCTTTTGTCCACAGAAACACTCATTTGTCTGATTTCTAGGCAAAAAATTTCTAGGGCTGTGGGAGAATCTTGTTTAGGGTCACTCTGTTTCGAGATTTCCGTTGTGTCTCATTGTCGTTAAAGAGCTTCTCGTTTAATTTTAACTTTTCTTTTTTGCAAAATATATTTTTTCCAATTTATTACAAAAGCTTTTTTTCCTTTTAATTATCCTAAATGTTTTAACTAGCTTAATTGTTTAATTTACTTAATTATTGTAATTGATTTTAATTTGTTATTTTCCAAATTAATCGTACATGAATCCGTGAACT